TTCCTAGTTCGAACTACCATTACTCCTCGTGGAATGAGGAGTAATGGTAGTTCAAACTAGGAAGCCTAGTTCGAACTACCTAGTTCGTGCCGCATATAGCCGCGCGGCACAGGGTTCGAACCAGCCGGGATTTAAAAATGGCTGCGCCCGGCTTATGCAAATGAAGCCCGGGAAATTCAAATCCCGGGCTTCATTTGCAAGAGCGGTATGCCTACATTACCCCGCTAGTTCGAACTAGCGGGGTAGTGTAGACATACCCCCAGTGGCGTCTATCGTACAACCCCAAAGAGCCAGAGCCAGCTGGCAAGTATACATGAGAAATCTAGGAAACTGAACAGCTACAAGGATTGCTAATGGGAAGCATTGGACATTAAGCCACTAGCTTACTTGGCTCCCAGGCATCAGATGTAAAGATTCTCAGTCTCCGTCTCCCTATTGGATGTGCTATGTGAGTGAGTCAGTGGTCTCCTTGCAATTCCTTGTGGACAAAGCCCTTCATCACGAAAGCCACTGGTGTTATTTAGCAGTGTTCAGCAATCAAGTGGTCATGGAGACTAGGAACATGAAGGGGTAACTGGTTCCCCAGTAAAGCATCACTTGCTAAGGGTGATGCTATCTGGTAACAGTTAACTGGATCCCCAAGGAGGAGCCCCCCACCCACACTCCAGCCCCAGCACGGGGCACCAGCAGAACCAGAGCCAGCTCCAGTGTCAGCGTGGGGGCCAGCGGCAACCCCAGCCCCAGCGTGGACTGGGAGCCCCACAGGTTGGGGGGCTAGAGCACTGAGATCCCACTAGTTGGTTAAATGATTCAATGTTAGATTAACCTAGCATTTAACCGGTTAACTGACTAGCTGGGATTTTACATCCCTCTTGGAGACCCTATCCCCTCCAGCAGCATTCCTCCAAGTTAGTGGACAGCATTGCTGTCACCACTGTCATACACACTCTGTGCACAGGGCCTTGCTCTTCAGCACAGAGCAAAACAGAACTTTGCCTAGGGCAAGATTGTGCCAGATTTACTCTTCAGTCAATTTCATAGTCAGAGGGTTTTAAAATCCATCAATTTCATGAATTCAGATTTAAAAGCTGAAATTTCACAGAGTTGTAATTGTAGGCAGCCTGCCCAAAACGGAATTGGGTGGAGAAGAGGGGCAGTCACAGGTTACTGTAGAGCGGATGCAGTACTGCTACCTTTACTTCTGTGCTGCAGCCCTCTGAGCTGGGCAGCTGGAGAGCAGTGGCTCCTCGCTGGGAGTCCAGTTCTGAAGCAGAGCTGTGGCCAGCAGCAGTTCAGAAGAAAGAATGGTCTGTCTCATACCTTTCCTTCTGGGCTGCTGCTGGAGGGGCGCTGCCTTCAGAACTGGATGCCTGACCAACAGCTGCTGTTCCCCATCCATCCAGCATTGAAGTAAAGGTGACAATGTTGTGACCCCCTAAATTCCCCTATGGGTAAGAACTCCCAACCTGAGAAACACTGGTCTCCCCCTGAGCACGGCACACAAAGACCAGATTTCACTGTCTGTGATGTATTTGGCAATTTTGTGTGCAAACCCAATGCATGTGACCATTCTGAGCCAGTGTTCCCTGTAAGCTGAGCGCTTGGACAGCCTCCCAGGAGAGATTCAAATGCTACCCAGGGATTAGCAGATCACCCACAGAGTCCACAGCCAGCCCCACTTGTTTCTATTGATAGTGCACATCTGCACATGCTGCGGTGCACAGAACAAAACCTATTCTGCACATGGGATGGAAAAAATTAGCGGAAACATTGTTCACAGCCTAACGCATTGTGAAATTTGGCCTTAAGCTTGGAAAAACCCCACACTGCTCTGTGAATATAGTGCTTTCCTGACACTTCACTTGCCACTTGTGTCCTCCTTTTTAGTTCTCAGAGTTAAGTGTTTTCTCCTATTCAAAAGGTTTGCCTTTTTATTAGTTTTCATTATTGGGCATTTTTGTTAGAGAAAGCCTTATTTGGAGGTCAAGACATCTGGTCTTTACATCGCTTTTCTTTTTTCAATCACAGTATTGACAAAGGGAAACGTAATCACGACACTGAGCACTGTTAACTTTTTGACACTGGAAGCTGTGTTCCTATTCTCAGGGGTCAAAACCAAATCATTCCCATAAACTATGCCTCCCTGTTCTAAAGGATCTGCTTGTATAAACACCACCTGCATGTGTTCATTTGCAGTCCACAAAGCAATGATGTTACAAAGGTTTCCATACATTGGAGTCCTGGGAATCTTGTTTAATAATTTTGTAACCTGGCCCAACACCTGAGATTCAAGGCATGAAGATGAACAATCAGCAGAGTTCTCAAGCATGTGCACAGTCCCACTGAAATCAGAAGGACCATCACATCCTGGCTTGATTAGGGCCCCTCTGCACACACAATGTTAATTCAGCGACCCCTCAGCACTGTTTGGGCCTTGTTTAGCTCCTTTGACCAAGCAACAACTCAGTTACTTCCTTTCTCCTTCCTGATGGGGCACATGTCCAATATATTCCTCCATGCTGCACGGCACCAAACTGCCCCCATTTATCTTCACCACATCCAATTCTAGGGCTCCACAATTGAGGCTATAAGTAACCCCTAGTGATTTCCAGCTCAAAGATCCGGGATACATCAACAGGACATAGAGGGGGGCAGAAAAGGAGGGGATGAGATGCCTTAAATAATGGGATGTGGGCCACACAGACTTCCAAAGAAATGGTCCGGAGCCCCAGTTAACAGCCAGTTTGGCAAGAACAAAGCAGGATGTGAAGACTCCAGTGGACAAAACGAGCCTACTGCCTAAAACAAAGCAAGTGACTTAGTGCAGCAGTTGGTCTGTGTTTAATATCCTGCTAACATCAATTTTGTTTGTGATTTTCTCATCTATGCCAAATAAACTTGGCTTTTATTTACCATGCCTGGGGCTTGAGTCTTCCCCCATGGAATATGAGTAACTTATTGATTTAAAAAACAAACAGCACAGCTGTAGCTAGATAAGTCATTGTTTGAGCTACCTGATGACTTCATGTGTCCGGTTCTCTGTCTCTCTCCCATCTGTTGGATTGCCATTGCAGATACAGCATGTCTCTCGGGAGATGTGTGAGATGTGTCTCATCCCTCCTACACCATTCCCTGCCAGGTATAGCCTTGTGTCTAATCTGGAAAAAGAGGCGGGGGGGCGGGGGGGGGGGGGAGAAAGCACCAACCCAGTTCAATGTTCTATTTTATTCAAACATCAAGGATGAATAGTTTAAACTATGCCCATTGGCCATGCCAGGAATGTAGCTTGCTAGAGACCTGTCCTCTCCTTACCTCACCTCTCATCTTTCACAAGAGGGACCTGCCAGCAGGGTGGCATAGGAATTGGCTACCCCAGTTCTATATCAGGTGGCTCCCCGAGCCCAAGAATCTCCAGTGAGGAAGAACAGGCTGATTCCCCCTCCCTTGAGTCGCACAATAATGGATCCTAAGCCCTGCTTTCTCTCTCAGGACAACTAATGCTCCATGGACACAATAGTGACTCATGTCTGTTAGGTGTTGAACACAAGATCATAAGGCTCATGTGATTAATACTAGGGATGTAAGCAACTAGTCCCTTAACTAGTCACTTCCCCAGCTTGCTGCCTCTATCAGAGACAGCAAGCAAGGGGATCAGGAGCTTTTCAGCCTGTCAGCTCTTAATACATTTAAAAGACAGAGCCGCAACAGGGTTAGCTCCTGTGGCTGGGAGCTAATCCCCCTGCGGCTCCCTCGCTTCTCGACTAGTCGATGGAAACTAAATTTAACATCCCTAATTAATACTCTACATGGACAGCTCTTCTAGGCCTTGCATCAACTGAACTGCTACTTTTCCAATATTAATTTCAGAATCTTATTTATAGTGCAAAAAAACTGCCAAAGTTCTGCCACAGGGCTACCCTTTGCACATAGATGGCTTTGGCTAGGGTCCTGGGGTGCAACTGCACCCACAGAAATCAGGCCGGCTCAGACCGGTGATCTGCAGTATGGTGCATGGGTCACAGGGCCGCTCAGCACGGCAGTAGAAGCTGGGCAGAGTTTGAGCGAACAGCACTGTGACCCTGCATGCCAAGGGGCAACACCATGCGGGATTGGCCTGGCTGCACCAAATTCAGGTGAGTGGACGTGGAGTGCACAGTGTGACAACGCGTCGGGATTTTCCCATCTCCTGCACCCCGAAATGGCATGAACAGACTGCACCAGCCAGTAGAATGGAGGTTGTTTATTGTTCCTCCAGCACAGCGCAGCACAGATGTAATCTGATTACAGGAACTGGGGCTAAGAAGCCTCAGTGCCCCCCTTGAGATAGGGGAGTCCCAGCCCCCCTCCCCAGCTCCTTCTTCCCTGCCTTCCAGCCAGGAACTAACTTCCCCTCTTCCAGCCCTGCCCACAGCCAGGGCAGCATTCCACCTCCCTTTGTTTCTCCCCATGGGGGGCCGCAGGTCAGACAGGTTTTTGAGTCACCTTTGCATAATGAGGTTTTCCCTGCTGGGTCTTGCTCCAGACAGCAGAGGTCACCACAGCCCAGCAAGTACCCCCACTACGTCACACAGAGCCACAGCACAACTCAGGTTTGGGGCCCACCATCGATAGCCTGGGGAGTGGCATGCTTACACCAGCTGGACCCTGATCCCACGGTCATCAACACCATCATCCATTCCTGGGGGGCCCATGGCAACCTGCCCCACCAAGACCCCAGAGTAGGACTGGGGATGTCACTCCAACCAGCAGAAGCAGTGGGATCAAAGGGCATGCTGGCAGAGCTCCCCCCATTCTCACAAGCAGGAGAGTGACCTGGGTTTATCTGACTTCTTGCACAGCAGCCAAGTGTTCCCTCTAATCTTCTCCATCCATGTGCAGAATAAGATTTGTTATGTGCATTGAGGCATGTGTGAAAGTGCACCACCAACAGAAATACATGCTGCTGGCTCTGGGCACTGTGGACGCTCTGCAGGGACGTGGGTATAAGAGGTGGGGAAGGCATTTGCCTTCCCAAACCACCAGCCTGGCCCCACTGATACTCCGTCCCCAGAACACCTACTGTAGATGCATCAGGAGCCTAGTGCTTGCCCTCCCCATGGGAGCTTGGAGCCTGGAGAAAGGGGCAAGGCTTGGGGCTTGCCTCCACCTGCCCTACCTTCATCCACTATCATGGTGCTCTGCTCAGCATCTGAATCTTTCCTGAGCAGTCACTAAAGCACACAACACTGACCTGAACATACATTGAATAGGGAGGATCCATCTGTCCTTGCCCTTGAAAATCTCAGAGGGTTTTAAAATAGGACAGAAATGTTTTCAGAGGCACGTACTTTGTTTCACCTGCTGATGAGTTGGCCAAAGAAAGGTGGAACATCTAGCATGTGTCTAGAGCGTCAGACTAAGAGAGCCCTTTACAGAGTTAGTCAGCGACACCAGAGAATGCTGCACAAGGCTATTTTTAATTTGTAGCTTTTAGACTACAAGGAAAGCCAGCTAGGAATCAAAACCACTCGCTAAGAACAGGGCGCACAATGGAGCTGAGTATTCAGGTAGTCTCCTGTTTGGCACAGTTACTCTAAATCATGTGAATCATTTTAAAGGCAGGAGTACGGCTCCTTCCTAATTACTTTTTCAGCACAGCGCCTTCTGCCTCCACTATAGACAGTGAAGTCACCATGCCATCATAGATGGCTCTCACAGACCCACATCACCATGAACATTCAGGTACCAAGCCTCAAAACAAAAGGTTTCACCGAATCGTAAGTAGGATAATTATAACACTTTGACAAGGCTCAGAGGGGGCAGCCAGTGTCTGCAAAAACCATGAGGAGCCATGTGGCACCTTAAAGACTAACAGATTTATTTGGGCATCAGCTTTCATGGGCAGAGACCCACTTTGCCAGCTGCACGTAGTGGAAATTACAGAGGCAGACATAAGTACACTAGCACATGAAAAGGAGGGAGTTACCTTTTCAAGTGGAGGACCAGAGCTAACCAGGGCTTGACTGAATTGGATTCCTTGGTGCTAGTTCTCCATCTGATAAGGTAACTCTCTCCTTTTCATGCGCTAGTGTGTTTATGCCCCTCTGTAATTTCTACTCCACATGTCTGATGAAGTGAGCTTTTGCCCACGAAAGCTTGTGCCCAAATAAATGTGTTAGTCTTTAAGGTGCCACAGAACTTCTTGTTGTTACAGCACTTTGAAGTCTTTCATTCTACTTGCTCAAGAGGCAGAACAATACTCCTAAACTGATTGGCATGGTAGGGATCACACTGCCTCCTGCGGGTAGGAAGAAGTTTTGCACACAGCACATAATGCCTATAACAGAGTTTAAAGAGAAGCTAGATAATTTCATGGAGGTTAGGTCCATAAAAGGCTATTAGCCAGGGGATAGAAATGGTGTCTTTGGCCTCCGTTTGTCAGAGGCTGGAGAAGGATGGCAGGAGACAAATCACTTGATCATTGTCTTCAGTCCACCCTCTTTGGAGCACCTGGTGCTGGCCACTGTTGGCAGACAGGCTACAGGGCTAGATGGACCTTTGGTCTGACCCAGTCCGGCCGTTCTTATGTTCTATGTTAACGCCATTGGCTATGGTTGGCTCTTTTCTCTCTACTTTCTGCTTAGCTGTAATGCTTGGGGAAGTTTGTGGACTGACAGTACTGTAGACAGATGCTTTCTCTCCTTCTTGCCTTAAATGCATCTCAATCTTGAGATGGGAGACGTGGGAGAGAGGAGAGGTGAATTCTCCTGGACTTTCTGCTGAGACCAGCAACCATTATACCTGGAGTGGTCATGACTTCACTCAGTACAGATTTGGCCACATTCATACCCCCCAGTTAAAAGGGGAAAGCTACAGACCCATTGCCACCATAACCAAGGTATCAACTATTTTCTTGCATCCCCATACAAAAGCAGCAGACAGACGTGACCATTAACGTACATGTTGGGAAAACAAAGAATTAGTACGATTTCAGCATAATTGCTTATAGTCCAGGGCACTCTCATTGAATCTCATAATCCTTAAAAAGGATTAATCAGTTCCTAATTGCTGATTAAGTTTAATCTTAATCTAGTACTTATGCCGTAATTGATGGGCATTGTATGCAACAGAGTTTTATAACAGTCCAATAAAGATGAAAAATTTTGCTTCAGTGCAATTGATTATTGTATTCATGAGACCAAGGTAGTATGGAAGACAGTACCACCTAGTGCTCAGATGCTGAACTGTGACACGTCTCTAGACCACTCAGATTACTAATGAAGCCCCTTAAGAGACTCAGTCAGACTATTTGTTTTAAACAGATGTGTGAATTAATACAATGTTGCTAGTTTTTCTTGAGTAAAAGAACTGTCATATAAAAAGAGTCAAATTGCCTGGGGATGTGTTTGGAGCCTTTCTGCCTCCGGAATTCTGGGAGGGATTAGACAAATTTTGCATAAACACAACACAATTGCCTAAACCTGTGAGGTGCTGAGTGTCCTCAACTCCTATTGGCTCTCCTGTAAGCCAGAGTGTTAAGCCTCTGCCAGGAGTGGTCCTAAAGATAAGGAAAGGAAAAAAAGAAGAGCCATTTGTGAAGTTACACAGTGAGAGCTTTCCAAATGTACAGGTCCACTTATTTATACTCACATGACTAGGCAGGTATTGGATGGCTTAAGGAAGATTTACTTCTCACAACCAGAATATGTACATTCCTGAAACTCTAAGCTGTATAAGGGCCTACAGGTGAGACTGGTTTCCTCCTGCCTGCAAATAACTAGAAATGCAACTAATTAATGACACTTGAACATCTCTGTGCCTGATTTTCAGGCACAGTCAGATAAATATAGTTTCTATCAGCTCCTTCTATAATGTAAGTGGATTAGTAACACCTCTGATTATGAAAAAAAATGCTTGAGACCTTTTTCTGTGATGATCTACTACATCCATTCTTTAAGGCTGCTCTTTTGAAAAATGACAGAGGTAGCCATGGAATAAAGCAGCACCTTTTATTTGTCTTGCTTATATTCCCCAGGAAAATTCTGGTACACGGTAAAACAAGAGTCAGGGCCACACCACCACCCAACCAGCAGCAGAAGCAACATATAAAGTCTGTCCCAAACAAAACTGTGTGCCCGGAACATGGCCCTAGCAATAAAATCCCATCTCCAGCTCTGTAGGCATCAGATAGGCAAGAGACCCTCACCTTCTGGGTGAGAGAGAAAGACACACACTCTGCCCAAGCATCCCCTATTACCAGACTGGTGATCTGCCCCCTTTCTGAGATGAATAGCTTTCTTCTGCTGCAAGTCTGCATAGTTAGTCCTGTACCTCAAGAAGTCCCATGGGAGAAATCTATGCCTGTTTCAAAGCAGGGAAAAGCAAAGCACACTACAGAACCTCTAGTGACCAGAAGGGTCCATGAAGATACTTAATTCATGGCAGGCTAGATTTACACCATAGCTTGCTGTGAACGAAGTGTTTGTAAAGGCAAGCCCTTATGTTGCAAAGTCAAGTGGTCAAAAGCAAGCAAATACCATATTTCAGTTACCAGGCCAATTGTATTTCTGCCCACTCATGTGAATGCATTAAAGTTAGCTTTTAATTACGTGACCACATTTTCCACAAAACTCCTATCTCATTCAGTGCACAAGCTGGGTATAAAAAAGTGGCAGAGTAAATGTTACATAGAGAATAATAATTCAAGCATTTACTAGCTTTTAAATATTTGACTTTGCAACCTAAAACAATTAAAACAATGCTTTTTTAAAGTATTTCTTATACACTAATTATCTACACATGTAGATCATGCACAATGCACAGCCACACAAAAAACAACACATTGTACACTCGGAGGGCATCCTCTTCTCTGCCCATTACCTGACAGTATCTTTTCCTTCACAATACCAGACGCTGAAATCCAAATCACCATGAACTCTGCTATGCACAATTTTGCATGATAATTTCCATGCTAATGAGTATTAAAGATTACCATTACTCAGTACATATAGGATTTAAAGTGACATGTGTTCTTTATCTAGTACGTCTATGTATTTCCTTTGTACTGGTCTAAGGGGTGTAATCTTATTCATTAGCAGCTGGTGCCTTGGTTACTGCATCCACCTGTGCCTGTTCCCCTCTCAGCTGGCAGAACATTTGAATTTAGCCCAAAACACACACACACAGTTCTTCCTGTGCCACAGCTCCTCCCTAGGGGCCCTCTCCCCTTAATAGCAGGGGGTCCAAAAGTCTTAGTATTCAGGCTAGAGGCAATCTCTTCTTCAACCACTGCAGTCCCAGGCACTCTGCTGGGTTTAGTGCCAGCTCTCACTCCAGCAAAGGAGGACTAGGAGGATGGGTACTTCCTCCTTCCCTTCCCTGGGAGGCCCAACTGTATTCTAGTTACCACTCTGGCCCCACCAGGTATCAGAGCATGACAGTGCAGGAGTCTCCATTTCATCACCCCAGCTGACCACTTCTTTGACCCTATAATGACCTGTCTACATCTTCTATAGCCATCCCTCCAGCCAGCTTACCTTTCATTCCATGCCCTTCCAGGTGAACAAGAGTCCAACTGAAAATACAGATCAGGAATTCTTCTACTCTCTCAAGCCCTGCTGAAGGCCCCTGCCCTGCACTCCCTCCCTGTAAGCAAAGCATTGCCTCCCAGGGCTTTCCTCCGGAAGGTCCTTCTTCCAGCAGGTTTCCCCGCTGCCTGCCCTCCCCAGGAGTCTCCCTGCTTACAAACCACCACAGAAACATAACCACATCCCTATAGGTCCCCTTCCACCTACCTTCACCACAAAGCAGAAACCTGTTCTCTTTCCTTTCTCCGCAGCTCTTCCTGACCCTGCACAGCTGGAATCACTATTTGACACTGAGTCCAGAACAGAATCAGCTGAGGATTAACTGCTGGATCTCCAGTTCCTCTTAAAGGTCCAGCCAGCCTGTGCTAGGCTCCTGAAAAGGAAGAAGCTGCTCATCCTCAGTTTTCTGCAAGCTGTTGCAATGTCCAGGGTCCTATCCTTCCCCTACTTCCGTAGCCTGTTGGTAGACTGTGTATTGCAGCACTGTTCAGGCTACTTTTGTCAGGTCCTACCACACCCCAAGTCAGCTCCCTCTTGGTGAGACCTGACACCAGCCCGGGTCTCACCAAGTCTAACCCTGTTCACAGATTGATCCATAGCAAGGCTTTCTTCTTCTCTGGTCATTTTCTGGGGAAAGGGAAGATCTCCTAACTCCATGTTCCTTCCACACCACATGTTATTTGTCAGCTTCTGTCCCACCAGACAACATCCAATGGAAAATACTTTCTTCTGGGCTGAACAGAGATTGCACTCCCCCATCAGGAGCCCAGCACACAGTTGCAGGTGACAAACCTGTTCCCAGAGCCACTTCTTACAAAGGCCAGTTCTTTGGGTGAGGCAGATGTTAAATTAGGATTGCCACCTCTCCTGACTGGATGGATCAGATGCCATTCACAGTAAAGGTGTCCAGTTTGTCCAGTCCTGGAGTGTTGGCAACCCTATATATTACACACAGAAACTAAAAAAATGCTTCTCCTTTTCAACAGCTGTGCATAATTTCTAGTGAATCATTTCAGAATTTCTTGCTTTTCACGCTCACTATAAAGGTCATTTGTTGCAGAAGAAATATCACAAGCACATGAATGCCAGGAGGTCTGGAAAGGCACCACAGTAACTTCCATTTTAAAAAATACTCTCTCTTTTTTGCGAGTGTGATTTAAAGAAGGCATCCCCTTTCAAGCTGCCAGATTTTGCACAGATACTCCCCAACCACTTCTCACAAACAGATGTCTCTCCTGTTTTCCCAACTGACTGGAAGCTTCAAATCAATTACTGTTCCCTGGAAACAAGTGTATTCTTTAGCCTGTTTTTCTCACAACATTCTGCCATTTCACCTGATTCAACCTCATTATAACCCTAGATGCTTCTCGACTTCTTTTCATAATGCAACATATATCAATAACAATCCCTTATCACAACCCTCTGAGACACTCATCCTCAAAAAGACTTCCAACACTGCACTTTTCATAAATATAACTCAAAGGGACTTCATTTACATAAAGAAATGTATTGATCTCATTGTCATTTTTTCCCAACCTGTTCTATGACTAATTTTATCCCTAGAGGTAACACCACATATTTTCCCCAGTAGAAATCATGCTTTAATATTTGCCCTTTGCAGCCAAAAATTCATCCAGTCTCAGTGACTGGGAGATTGTTGTTTAGCTGTTTATGAACTAGGGATGTAAAAGTATAACAATTTAAATGATTAACTGCTAAGCATGTTAACAGTTATACAAAGGCTCCCACGCCACTCCACGCTAGTGGCTCTATGTCAGAGGCAGTAGTGCAGGGCTGCAGCCAACTCCCCGGTAGCAGGGTAGACGGGAGCCAGTATACATCAGGAACCAGCTTAAAAGTCAGCTTCCAGTGTGCACAGGCTCCCAGGGAGCTGGCTGCCACCCCATACTGCAGGTGCATGAAACTATGTAACCGCTGAGATTACCTATATACCCACTTTTTAACATCCCTGTTATGAACTAAACTCAGAACTCAGGCCAGTTGTTCAAAACCTTTACATTTTGTTAGGATGAAATTACGAAGTCAGCTCCCAACCTTCCAATGACCCTTTACAACACATCTCAATACTGGTCTCTGTCTCTCCTTTTCTCTCTATCCTTTTCTTTTTATTTTCCTTCTTCTCTTTCTCTTCCTTGTTCTCTTTGCTCTTTTTACAAGTGTGCGTGTGTATGCTCCTCTTCCCAGTGGTCCCTACTCCGCTAGCTTTAATTCCTGCTCCCATAAACCCCTCACTTGCTGGAAAGTAGCAGGTTGATGGGTGTGGAATGGATCTGTTACTGTCACCTAAGAATTAGCTGAGAAGCTTGGCTCAAGGAAGGTAGCTTGCCAGAGCTCTATCTATGTGAGCTGCTCCACTAGCTGCATATTTTAGGGGCAGTAATGGGAGCAGAAAGGGAAAGTGGAAGGAGCTTTTAAAGGCCTTGTCTACAAGAACCTCTGACATCGATCTAATCTACATCACTTCAGCTACACAAATAGCGTAGCTGAAGTTGACATACTTACCGCAGTGTCTTCTGTGCAGTAAGGCAGGGCTACTCAACACAGGTCCCGCAGCCTGTATGTTTGCAGCCCACGGTGCAGTTTGGGTTTACGTGGGGCTCAACACACGGCCCGTGGGTGGGATCCTTTGAACATGGCCTCCACTGAGAACACGCCCCACAATGGCGAGGTGTCTCCCAGGCGGGGTGAGCACTGAAAGACGCAAGTGGATGGGCAGTCTGGAACAGACAGGTACAGAGTGTTGGCATTTCTAGCCCACACGGAGGAGGTGCTGGGAGCACCCGTGGCATTATGTTAAAGAAGCTATTTGCATATATATTGGCATGTACATGCAACCACACTTAAGTTGCGGCCCTTGGTATGTGCTGTGAATATCATTGTGGTCCCCGGGGCTTCCAAAGTTGAGCCCTGCAGTAAGGTCAGCTCTCCTGTCTACGCTGACTACTCTTCTTGTACTGGTGGAGTTCCAGCATCAACAGAAGAGTGCTTGAAGATTGATTTATTGTGTATAAACAGATGCAATAAATCAACAGCTGGTGGATTGACTGCTGCAGTGTCGATCCACCACGTAGTGGAGGCAAAACCAAAGACTCAACTGCTGCTGTACCTGCAGATGTAACAGCATATTTAAAGAGTATATATGAATAAGGAGAAGATTTGAGGTCCTGCAGCCTTCTTTATACACATATAGATGCTGTTCTTTCCTCTATGGCCTCACACCCCAGGAATAGTCAGGCACCCTCTATCCAGATTGGGACAAACAGTAATAAGCTTTTTGAAAGTTGCAGGGGACTGGGAGCTACTCTGGCTTTTGACAAGACAGATTGCTTTTACCCTTAAAAGACATGAAATCTCTTCCAATACAGCTGATACTAGGAAAACCTGGGCATGTTGTATAATTCAAATAATTTGTTGTTGATAATGCGCTTTGATAAACTTTCCAAATGCAGAAAGAATTGTCAGACAAGTTTACAATTACTCTGCGACCGTGTTGAATACTAAGGATGCAAGCTGCCTGGTATTTCCAGAACTCAAGAACTCAGGGATCTGAATGTGGAAGAGGCTTGAAATTAGTTTAAGTAAAAATCGCAGAAACCATCTGAAGCCTACATTTTGTTGTCTGCATCTCAGATGACAGGAAAAACTCATAGGAAAAGATTGCAGACTAAAAATTCCAAACAGGTTATTAAACAAGAGCCTATAAGGAATGGGAGAAGGGATGGATCAGCAAAGAAAACTGTCCTTTCAGAGGTCAGAAAGTGCAGGGGGAAATTGAGAACTGCCAAGAAACAAGCAGAGTTGGACCTTGAAAAGGAGCTCAAAACCAATAATAAAAGTGGTTTTAGCTGTATAAATGAAAGACAAGGAAAGAAGTGGGACTGCAAAACACTGAGGATGGGTTGGAGACTGAAGATAATTTAAGCAGGGCCCAAGACCTAAACAAATATTTCACTTCAGTTTCTAATAAGGGGAATGAGGGTTTTGGGTGCAGTGGCATGGTAGCTAATGGGGAAAGGGATACAGAATCCCCAGGAGCAGGTCCACCGACGAGTCAAAGGTAGCAACTGCCTCAAGTACCAGTGATTCAAAAGAGCTTAGGGCTTCCAGTTGCTGCTGCTGCTATGGCAGCAGCCAGAGCCCTAGACCCTTTAATTCACCACCAGAGTCCTGGGCAGCACTAGGGACTGGCTGGGGGCACACAGCATGGTCTAGGCAGCATTTAGGGCTGGCGGTGCCAAGCCCCACTCTCTCTGTCCGAGGCCCTGCCCCTTCCAGAGCATGGAGCTGCTCTCCCACACCTTGCCCAGTGGCTCGGCAATTCTGTCGGGCCCCCGCCCATGAACAAATTAAGCCCCTAGAACTTTGTAAGGTAATGATGTTTGCGCCTTGACCTGAGCTCATGTAGCTACCAGCTCTTGATTTCTCTCCAGCACTGGTGTGGCTATTTTTCTAGTGCTCTGTCATTCTGTAACACTGCACATCCTAAATTGTATTTTTTAAACAATTTTTTTCAAATGTGTTTCTTGAACTCAGTGGCAATGATTAATAGCTTAGGTTAGAAGCAGTGTTTATTTTTAGGTTATATATGTTAAAGCCTAAATTATGAGCTAAGAAAAATGTGGCTCTGTAAATAAACACACTGGAGCAGCTAGTTAGCAGGTTTCCCAAAGTGGTTTTGCAGACCACTGAGAAACACTTCTGAATGCAGTAGCCAATACCTGGACCAAAGCAACAATTTCTGATTCCTGCTTTAGGACACTTTACATTATTTCCTTGGTACATAAGTGAGATGGATTATCACCACTGGGAAGCAGGCTGGGAGTGGTGAGAAACTACTGCATCCCTAAAACCACTCAACGGAGCTGACCCAACTAGTACAGCTTCTTATGGCTGGAAAAACAGCCAGCCTAACCCAGGCCCTGTTATTGCCCAGTATGGCAGCAGGTGGTGCCATATACCCAAACTGAGCTACCTGAGAGAGCAGCTTTACCCAAGCCACTCAAATACATACCACAGACAGCAGCCAATTCTCCAGTTTTTCACTCACCTTCCCTCCCTCAATATTAAACTATCTTGCATTGCACTATGAACTGTTCAGCATAGGCTCACAAAGTTCACCTTCTCTCCTTGATACGGAGAGGGTTATGCAACTGCTCCTGCCCCTCAAGCCAAGATTTCCAGGCACTTCACTCCAATCTCACTGGTTTAGATTAAAATACAAATGTATTACCTACAAAAGATAGATTTTAAATTATTATAAGAGACAGCAACCTAGGACACAGACCAAAGCAGATTACCTAGCAAATAAAATGCAAACTAAGCTCAATATACTAGATAGATTGGATATGAATAGTATTCTCACCCTCACTGATGACATATACTTAAGGCACAAGCTGCATTAGCTTTGTATCTTGGGTTTCTCAGGTCTTCATAGACAGGCTAGTAATCCATTTAGCCTGGGTCCAGCATTTCCCCTGGGTCAGTCTTTGTTCCTCAGGTGTCTGCAGGAGTTTTCTCGTGTGGAGTGAAGACAAACATGATGTCTGTCCCTGCCTTATGTAGCTTTAGCAAATGCCAAGAATCCTTTGTTTCTAAATTTGGTTCCCAGACTGGTTTGTGATAAAATACCAATATCCCAAGATGGAATCCAGAGACATGTGGCCTGGTCATATGTCCTTGCAATGTTATACCAGCCATTGCTAACAAGCTGGGCAAAATGCCTACAGGAAGGTTAAGTTATCTCACAGGCATTGTCTTTGCTGATGGGCCATTAGCCCCTTCTGGCTTCTTCACTGTGTATTGGAAAAGCTGGCTGTGTGTGTCACCCACACTAAACCTATTTGAAATACAGACCCCTAGTCAATATTCATAACTTCAGGTACAAACATGATACGTGCATACAAACAGGATAAGCACATTCCGCAAATCATAACTTTTCCAATGACAACTCACACGACTTATCATTATGAAGAATATGGGATGCAATATCACAGTAAGATCTTCAGCACTGTGTAGAATTTTAAGTTACTTTCCAGTTCTGAAATTTGGTTCCAGAATATACATTCTCATTACTTGGAGAACTATAATTTTGTAATAACAAGAGCAAGCCAAGATATTTGTGCCCAAAGACTTCAGGGCCCTCATAAATAAAAGACAAGGGACAAGCCCTGACATTTCTAAGGCGAGGCACTTATTTTAATGGCTCTCCACTTGCGACATAAGACCTCGGGATCTCTCCCACATATTTACAAGGTAGTAACCTCATCAGCCACAAGGCAGGCTCTTCCAAAGGACAGAATAGCCTCCTTTAAGGACTCTTCTGACAACGAAGGGAACCAGTCACCATGCCCAGCTCTACACACAATGTTCAAAATACTGGCTGTTCCAAGCCTGGATTTTGATTCCCCAACAGTGTCAGGCAGATGAAGAAAGCCTGACCCTTTGGATAGGGTCTCTGGACTCCTTCCTGCTCACCAATACATCTACTGGGATAAAATGCCTATGTAGGCAGGGGCAGGAGAAAAGCCTTTCAGATCAAAAAGAAGCTAATTGCCACTCCCTTTAAAGAGCAAGATCAAGTCTTGTATCAGACTCTGCAGGACTTGCCACAATGCAGTCTTTCCTGCTGGGACGACTCTGACCTGTCACTCTACTGATCCCTTATTGGGTGTGTCTACACTGTAACTGTAGAGAGTCTCCAAGAATGCTAAGGAAGCAAGAGGTGTTGGCAGAAATCCAGGAGAGCCAATGAAAACAGGGTGTGGGGTTTTGAATTAGAAGCAGGACCTTCCTGCTTTGTGTGCCTAGAGCAGAGATGAACAGAGATTGAGTTAAGCCAGGAAAACAGGGATGGAATATTCATTGACATCCATGCCTAGGGAAGGACTAAATCTTGAAACTACAGATATGTAAGTAGAACTGGGAATGTTTAGTCCGATGTGATCAGGTTATTTTTGTTGGACTTCTCTGTGCTAAGCCTATGTACAACCCCCACCCTATCTTTTAAACTGAATCCCAGGGAAGCATAAGAACGGCCAGCCAGACTGGGTCAGACGAACAGTACATCTAGCCCAGTATCCTGTCAACAGTGGCCAATACCAGATGCACCAGAGGGAAGGAACACAACAGGTAATCCTCACGTGATCCCTCCCCATCACCCATTTCCAGTCATTCCAGAAGCAATTCTTTGTGCCTTCATCTTTATTTCAGTTGCTCTGTAACACCTACCAAGCAAGTAAAGTTTGTTTTTGTTTTGTTAATAAATAATCATCTTTTTAAAACCATAATCTGAATCCTCTGTCCTAGAAGGCAGGAGGTTGTCTAAGACTGCAAGCTCTGCGATTAAGGAATTTACAGGGTTTGCTTGCAAGCTGTCTCCAGAGGGAGGATTAAAAAGTTTGAGAATACCACACAGGAAAAAAATCCCAAATGTGTCTTCCTGGGTTGTCAAAGGGGTTTTTCAATTCTGTGGTGGCAGCATCCAAGGTCAGGGAATCTGTGAACTTGGGGAAGTTTTTAAATAAAAGCCTTTAGTAGCAGGAAATTTTAAAGTCTCTGGCAGTCCCCCATCCTTCACACTCAAAGTGCCAGAGTAGGGAAAATATTTTACAGGCTCCTTAAACAGCTTGAAGTTACCCTGCTTTTAATCTTTTGCTAAAATGAAAATTGATCATTTAATCTCTTTGCTTGGTCTCCTAGACAGTTTTTTTGAGTAAAGCCAACACTTGGCCTCTTACTTTCTAAGTGCTTTGTTTAGTACGTCATTAGTCTCTTGTGATGGCCCTTCTTACAGACCCATGGGCTGCGTCTAGACTGGCATGATTTTGCAGAAATACTTTTAACGGAAACGTTTTTCCGTTAAAAGTATTTCCGCAAAAGCGCGTCTACATTGGCACGGATGCTTTTGCACAAAAAGTGTTTTTGCGCAAAAGCAACCGTGTCCAGTCTAGACGTGATTTTGCGCAAGAAAGCCCCGATCGCCATTTTAGCCATCAGGGCTTTTTTGCACAAAACATTTCTGCCTTTTCTACACTGGCCCTCTTGCGCAAGTATTCTTGCGCAAGAGGGCTTTTTCCCAAGCGGGAGCGTGAAAGTATTTGCGCAAGAAGCCCTGATTTTGTACATTACGAAGTCAGTGCTCTTGCGCAAATTCAAGCAGCCAGTATAGACAGCTGGCAAGTTTCTGCGCAAAAGCACCTGTTTTTGTGCAAAATCTTGCCAGTCTAGACACACCCATGCCGTTTTCTGCAGGGAGATCTTCTGGCTGTGACCTTCCACACCAAGGCTATGTCTACACTGGCAAGAAGTCTTGTGCAAGAACATGTCCACACTACCATGTGTGAGATGTGCTTTTGCACAAGGATATCTATGGGGCTATGTCTACACTCATGGCTTCTTGCACAAGTATGGCCGTTCTTGCCCAAGAATCCGCAGAACATCCACACTGTCCACTGGCTCTTGTGCAAGAAGATTTACAGTAAAGCGTGGTAAGAGAGGGCTTCTTGAGCAAGCGCTACGCTCTTTTTTAAGCCCTCTTGCGCAGGAGTTCTTGGATGCTCTCTTGCGCAAGAAAGTGCTGATGGCCGTTTTAGCCATAAGGCGTTCTTGCACAAGAAACCCCTGCTGATCGTCCACACTGCCCCCTTGCGCAAGAGCTCCTGCACAAGAGAGCTTACACTGTTAGAAAAGAGCGTAGCTCTTGCGCAAGAAGCCCTCTCTTACCACACCGTAATGTAAATCTTCTTGCGCCAGAGCGGGCAGGCAGTGTGGACGCTCTGGGGATTCTCGCGCCAGAGTGGGCGGGCAGTGCAGACACTCTGGGGATTCTCGCGCCAGAGCGGGCGGGCAGCGCGGACGCTCTGGGGATTCTCGCGCCACAGCGGGAGGGCAGCGCGGACGCGCTGGGGATTCTCGCGCCACAGCGGGAGGGCAGCGCGGACGCGCTGGGGATTCTCGCGCCACAGCGGGAGGGCAGCGCGGACGCGCTGGGGATTCTCGCGCCACAGCGGGAGGGCAGCGCGGACGCGCTGGGGATTCTCGCGCCAGAGTGGGCGGGCAGCGCGGACGCTCTGGGGATTCTCGCGCCACAGCGGGAGGGCAGCGCGGAAAGACTAACAAGATGGTTTATTAGGTGAGGAGCTTTCGTGGGCCAGACCCACGTCCTCAGATCAAATAGTGGAAGAAAATAGTCACAACCATATATACCAAAGGATACAATTAAAAAAATGAACACATATGAAAAGGACCAATCACATTTCAGAACAGAAGGGGGATGAAGGGGGGGAGGTAAGTGTCTGTGCGCTAATGATAGTAGAGGTGATAATTGGGAAGCTCTCTTTGTAACGGGTGAGATAATTGGCGTCTTTATTCACATTTGAGTGCAAAGTGTGGAATTTAAGCCTGAATGACAGCCCTGGTACTCCAGGAGGTGACTGACAGGGTCGCCTGGTGCTCACCTCCCCTTCCCCGCCAATGAAGGGGGGGAGGTAAGTGTCTGTGCGCTAATGATAGTAGAGGTGATAATTGGGAAGCTCTCTTTGTAACGGGTGAGATAATTGGCGTCTTTATTCACATTTGAGTGCAAAGTGTGGAATTTAAGCCTGAATGACAGCCCTGGTACTCCAGGAGGTGACTGACAGGGTCGCCTGGTGCTCACCTCCCCTTCCCCGCCACGCG